ACTCTCCCTCTGTCCCTCAGGAACCTGAGCTCTGCGGACGCCGGGCGCCAGACCATGCGCAACTACGCGGGGCTCATCGACTCCCTCATGGCCTACGTGCAGAACTGCGTGGCGGCCAGCCGCTGCGACGACAAGGTGAGGGAGCGCCCCCGGGGCCGCCTCCTTTGGAAGTGACAGCGGGACCTCAGGACGGGCCCTGTCCCCTGGCTGTTCAGCCTGGTCCCGGCGGGCACCTTGCCTTTCTGCTCCAGATGGGACACCCCCTACAGCTGAGGGGCCCAGACCCCACAGGCGGGGAGTGAGGGGAACCGATTCAAACCCAGGTTCCGGGAAGGGTCCTTGAGGGGCCTTGGCTGCCGGGCCCAAGCCCGAACCCGGGGCGGCTCCCGCGGCGGCTCCGACACCCCTCTCTCTGTGCCCAGTCCGTGGAGAACTGCATGTGTGTCCTGCACAACCTCTCCTACCGCCTGGACGCCGAGGTGCCCACCCGCTACCGCCAGCTGGAGTACAACACCCGCAACACCTACACCGAGAAGTCCTCCACTGGCTGCTTTAGCAACAAGAGCAACAAGATGATGGTGAGCGGGGCCTGGGCTCCCCGCCCCCCCACACACACCCCCGGGCCCGGGCCCTGCCTCACCGTCCTCTCCGCCCCGGAGCCTGCTGCCCTCCGGGGCTGGGCAGAGGGTGTCCCTGCAGACTGAGGGGCCTGTGGGTCGGGACAGTAGGAGCTCAGACCCAAAGCCGCCGGGTTTGGACGAGTCTGGCCACACGTCCCAGGACACCGAGAGGCTCTCTGTCCTCGGACACCAGCCCCGAGCGCCACGGCGGGTCCCACGCCCTTTTTTGCAGTGGCTTCAGTGAAGGCAGACACCTGCTCTGTCCCCGCGGGCAGGAACCCGGCCCTGAGATGGGGGGGGGGTAGGTGCTTAGGTTTGGTGCCTCTGGAGGCAGCCTGATCACTGGCCCTTTGTCCTCAGAACAACAACTACGACTGCCCCCTCCCCGAGGAAGAGACCAACCCCAAGGGCAGCAGCTGGCTGTACCACTCGGACGCCATCCGAACCTACCTGAACCTCATGGGCAAGAGCAGGAAGGATGCCACCCTGGAGGCCTGCGCCGGTGCCCTGCAGAACCTCACGGCCAGCAAGGGGCTGGTGAGCAGGGGCCCCGCCCGCTGCACCTCCCCCCACCCCAGCCCTGGCCTCCAGTCGGGGCAAGCTGCTCCCTGCTACCCCTGAGCCTGCACTGTGTCCCGTTGGACACCCACAGGCTCGGAGCTCTGTTCTGCAGACAGGGATATGGAGTCTGCCACATGCCAGTCTCCGGGGCTGGCCCTTGTGGCCTAACCCTCTGGGGACTCCCAGGGGTACAGGGGGGATGAGCCTGCTCCTCTTGGAGTCTGTGCCAAGTGCCCCCTTAGCCTCGTGGTTCCTGGCCCCTCACTGGCTCCTGCCTGGGTGGAGCCACAGGGGGCAGCTCAGACACGCTTGTCACCTGGACATTGGATCCGGGCACCCTCTGGGCTGCAGGCTGGCCCGAGAGCTGGGTCCGGGGCAGGGAAGGGGAGGTGCCAAGTTGCCTGGTGTCCTGTGGCTACCAGGCGGGCACAGGGTCATCTCTCTGTGTTTGTGTGGCCAACGTGAAGGAGGGAGAAGGCCAGGTCTCTCTTTGGGGTCACCTGTCCCCCCTTCTCCTCCGTGGGGCCGGGGCAGCCACAGGTGGGTCCTCACTCACTTGGTCCTTCTGTCCAGATGTCCAACGGCATGAGCCAGCTGATCGGGCTCAGGGAGAAGGGGCTGCCGCAGATCGCCCGCCTCCTGCAGTCGGGCAACTCGGACGTGGTGCGGTCCGGGGCCTCCCTGCTGAGCAACATGTCCCGCCACCCGGCGCTGCACAGAGTGATGGGTGAGCCCCCCCATGGCCCAGACCCGCCCCCAGGTAGCACTCGGCAGACCCCCACTTTCCAGGGGCTGCCAGAAGGTCACCCTTTCACTGCTCCCCAGGGTGAGCATTCAGGAGGGAAGCTTGGAGGTAGAAAGGGGCAGGTCACCTGGGATGGGCGGCAGGTGTGTGAGGTCCCACCCAGGTCCTGAGCCCCCATGGAGCCTTAGCCCCTCTCTCCCTCTGTCCTCTGACCCCCGCCGTCCCCTCCCTTCTCTCCCAGGGAACCAGGTGTTCCCGGAGGTGACCCGGCTCCTCACCAGCCACACTGGCAACACCAGCAACTCGGAGGACATCCTGTCCTCAGCCTGCTACACCGTGAGGAACCTGATAGCCTCCCAGCCCCAGATGGCCAAGCAGTATTTCTCCAGCAGCATGATCAACAATGTCATCAACCTGTGTCGGAGCAGGTGGGCGGGAGCCGTGCCCCGGCCCCAGGGCGGAGCCCCATCCCTGCCAAACAGGCAGTGCTCACGGGTGGTGGGGGAGCGTCAGTCCAGAGGCCCAGGGCGCCCTGGAGCTCAGTGTCCAGCAGCCGGCCTCAGGACAGCGCACTTCTCCACCGGGGTCACCAGGGGACACTGAGTCCTCCAAGGGCCAGCAGGAGGCAGGAGCTGCAGACCCAGCCGTGTGGGAGCTTAATTCTGCTCCCTGGGGCTCTCTCCTCCCAGGACAGGGGCAGGGGGACCAGAATGGAGGGCACATCCCCCTCATGGCCCCGAGGGGAGTCCTGGGGCACCTCCAGGTGGCAGGGGCGTGGGGCTGTGCCCACTGTGTAGAGTGACCAGCCCGATGCCGAGGGCAGCTCCTGTCTCGTGCACCCTGGGGCCCCTGTGTCTCCAAGGCCTAGAGGTGAGGGTGGAAAGGAGGAGGGTCTGTCCTCACCTCTCCCCGAGGTTCACCCACAAATGCATTTCCCCCCTGCCCAGTGCCTCCCCCAAGGCTGCGGAAGCCGCTCGGCTCCTCCTGTCTGACATGTGGTCCAGCAAGGAGCTGCAGAGCATCCTCAGACAGGTGAGGGCCCACACCCCATGCTGCTGGCCAGGCTCACCGGGAAGCCCTGCACCCGATGGCCAGAAGTCTCCAGCGACCTCTGAGGTCACTACTGGCCAAGCCCGGGAANGAGAGAGGAAGGGAGAGGGAGAGAGAGATAGAAACATTGATGAGAGAGAACATCAATGAGCTGCCTCTTGCACGCCCCCTACTGGGGATCGAGCCTGAAACGGGAATCAAACCAGTGACCTCTTGGTTCGCGAGTCGACACTCAACCTACTGAGCCACACCAGCCGGGCTGGGCAGTGGTTTTTGATTTCCTTCCATGTGCATCATTTTGACCTACAAAGAAAGCTCATGAAACGATGGGACAGGAGAGGCCATAGACCAGGTCTAGGTGCAAGTTGACGTTCCATAGGCTCATTGGCCAGAGTAGGCTGGGGTGGCCCCTCGGTCCCCAGTGTCTTCCTGAGCCTGTGTGAGTCGCGTCGACTATCCCGCCCGCAGGGCTGCTCTGGAACCTGTCTTCCACGGACGAGCTGAAGGAGGAGCTCATCACCGACGCCCTGCCGGTCCTGGCCGACAGAGTCATCATTCCCTTCTCCGGCTGGTGCGACGGGAACAGCAACATGTCCCGGGAGACGGTGGACCCTGAGGTCTTCTTCAATGCCACCGGCTGTCTGAGGTGAGAGGAGAGGGTGTTCGGGGCCCTACACCCTCCCCCAGGCAGCTCCGACTCAGCTAAGACTCAGCCTGGGTGCAGCAGAAACATGCCTGGCCCTCGGGGACCGACTCTGAGGCACGGCCATGTTCCCCACTTCCTGCTTTCTTTTTATTTCATTAAATTTACTGGGGTGACACTGGTTAATAGGGTCATACAGGTTTCAGCTGTGGGTTTCTGTTACGAGCCCTGTATATTGCACTGTGTGCTCAGCACCCAAACCCACCCCCTCCTCTGAGGGACCCAGCAGACATAGGCACGAATCTAAGGGTGGGAACGCCTGGACCTGAACATCCAAACTGGTTTCTCTCTTCCGCTCCCACCCCTGAAAAAATGTGCTTCTGCGCTGCCTTGAAGAGCCTCCTTTTAGACGAAAGTCTACCTGGCTGCTGACAAGTCACTTCCAGGCTGTGAGGCTAAACCCTCCCCAACATTCATTCCTTGGCGAGAAGTTGGCTCTTCTTTGCCCAAAGTGTCCCGAGTTCCTCTCCAGGGTGCGGCGAAGCCCCTCGGGGCGTTGGGAGGAGGGACTGGGCGTGCTCCTTTCAGGGCAGGTTTACGAGCTGGGAGTGGGTGCTGGGCCTGGGTGGAGGGGATCCCTTCGGGGTCAGCCCTGCTCCGAGGGGGTTGTTTTCCCCAAGCCCTGGGGGCCCTCGCACAACGGGGTGCCGTTGGCAGGGGCTCTGTGTCTCAGCTGGGGCCACTGCCCCTGTCGGCCTCCAGCTGCAGCCTCTGGGGAGCAGAGCCTGGGAGGTAAAAAGCCAGGGTAACTACTGGCTTTACAGGCAGGTGGGCCCAGGCTGCTGGGGATGAGCCCACCGCTGGGCATGAGCCCACTGAGCTCACTGAGCCCACTGTGGGCAGAGCACAGCTTCCTGGGCGAGGGGGCCTCTCCGGTCCCAGGTCCAGCACCGCCTCAGCTCCCCCAGAAAGAGACAGGGCAGGAAGGAGCTGCAGCCCCACAGGGGCCCAGAGCCACACTGGAGCCACTGACACTCATGACAGTTTTGTTGGTGGGCTAAGTGGGTGGATAGAAAAATGAAAAGAACTGAGTTCCCGCCAGACCCACCCAGCCTCTGCCGGGGCTGCCGGAGCTGGCGCCTGCTTTTCCTTTCCTTTCCTTTTCCTTTCCTTCACCCCTCAGGCCTTTCTCCCTCTGCACTCCCGTCCTGTGCACCTGGTACCAAACCTCCACCTGCACCGGG